TTCGAGCTAAAACGAGCCGAACACGAGCGAACACATCTTTGTTCGTGTTCGGTTCGTTAACTTATCGAACAAAATTAACAAGCCGAACACGAGCTTCTTAACGAGTCGAACACGAGCTGTTCGCGAACAACGAGCCGTTTTGCCAGCCCTAAATGTGATTTATGCCATGTTGGTAAGTGCTTTGGCTTCAGAAAAAAAAGAATGTATATATATATATATACCTCATTTTATTAGTTTCAGCAATCTCTCGAATATAATCATTCTACATTACATAATTATTAATATATTAACTCCACCCGAAGATCTTCATGTGATGAATTTCCTTCGAGTTTGAGGGAAAAAAATTAATTTGGATATTCTAATAAATATTTTACTATCAGAATAAGAAGATAAACTAATAAAATATAGAATACATGCTTAAAATTTGAAGAAATTTAAATAAAAATAGAAACATGTTATATTTTCAAAAAGAATTAAATGCACATTTTATCATTATTTTTTGTTGATACAAAATATATGTGAATACCAACATATAATTTTGGGCTAATTACATACATAGCAGTAGAAACATTGCTATTTATAAAACTAAAACCCAGGCTACGTTGTGTTGTTCTCGTTTGGGGCAGCTTATTTGGTGTGGTGGCGTTTTGAAAACGCTCATTGTCTGTTTGGGTAAACTGCGTTTTGGTAGCTTATGCGTTTTAAAATGTTGAAAATAGTGTTTTCACACTGCACCTGTACCTATCTAGGTGCGGTGACAGCTTTCTGGCTACAGTCTTGCTTTTCAAAAAATATAAAAATTTGTAATAGTCACAACACATTGTTTATCAGCAGATTATTCAATAAACTACAACAAATAGACGTCTCACAACAGCACAAAATATAGAGAAAAATAAAAAAAAGTATTTTATTAATCTTAATTAATAAACCTTTTTTCATAGCAAGAAAAAAAATTTCATAACAAGAAAAAAAAAGGAACAATATTTTTTGGAAAAAAAATAGAATGTCGAGCTATCCCAAAAGTTGAACTGATAACTCACTGAAACAGTCTTCATCTGCAGTATAGTTTAAACAGTAGTCATTCAAAACCACTAAAAGTGTGAAGAGACCATTTTTACATAGATACATACATGGCAATATATATATGTTTTTAAAATGTTGAAAATAGTGTTTCCACACTGCACCTGCACCTATCTAGGTGCGGTGGCAGCTTTCTGGCTGCAGTCTTGCTTTTCAAAAAATATAAAAAATTGTAATAGTCACAACACCTTGTTTATCAGCAGATTATTCAATAAACTACAACAAATAGACGTCTCACAACAGCACAAAATATAGAGAAAAATAAAAAAAAGTATTTTATTAATCTTAATTAATAAACCTTTTTTCATAACAAGAAAAAAAAAGGAACAATATTATTTGGAAAAAAATAGAATGTCGAGCTATCCCAAAAATTGAACTGATAACTCACTGAAACAGTTTTCGTCTGCAGTATAGTTTAAACAGTATTCCTTCAAAACCACTAAAAGTGTGAAGAGATCATTTTTACATAGATACATACATGGCAATATATATACACACACAAACACACACACACATATACATACACATCTTGATATGTATAGATATGCATGTAGATATATATGTATATAAGATATGTATGTATATATGTATGTATGTTTATATATAAATAATATATAACACACACACACACACGCACACGTGTGTGTGCGTGTGTGTGTGTGTGTGTGTGTGTGTGTGTGTGTGTATTGTGTCTATATATATGTGTTTGTATATATATTGTGTGTGTGTATATATATGTGTGTGTATATATATGTATATATCTGTATATGTGTATGCATATATTTGTATGTATATGTGTGTGTATGTTTGTATATGTATGTATATCAGTGCGCGCGCGCGCATGAGTCTGGATTTTGTAATATATTTAAATATATTTGACAACTCATAACGTTTCCTTTTCCTTGGTGGAATACTTTTCTTGCGTAGGATTCCATTTGAAAGAGGTAAAACAAATTAGTTCTTATTTGGAAGATTTAATTTATTTTATGATGCCACCATAACCTAAGAGGTATCAATTTCCAGGATTTTAAATAAATCAGGATTTAGCAAGAGCTAAACATGGAAGGTTTTTAAATATTTGCTTAACTTTTTTAGATTGTGATAGTATGAATTTCTTTCTATGGCGGAGCATTTTTCTTCTGCCTTTCAAATAATGGAGTAGCATCTAGTGCTAATTCTGATAAACAAATTGGCTACATAGTTAAAAGCTCCAAGAAATTATTGTAGCTGGTTTTTTTTAATTAAGTATTTGATCAACAAATTTATATGTGAACTCAATACTTACATTAATAAGAATAATAGATACATTGGATATATCATGTCCCAAGAATCTTATTGAGGTCTAAAAAAATTTATTTTTTAGGGTTGAATTGACTAATCCACATTGCTAGATTTTCTACTTTAAAGTTTTTAAATGCTTAAAGTGTTCTTCAAGAGTTTTGGAGAATAAGAAGGTGTCATCATTATACATAATGATGTATTCAAAGTGATATTTGGATATATTATCCATAATATATTGAAATTCAGAAGCGATATTTTTTAAACCAAAGGGCAGGACATTCCATTCGAAATGCTCGAATGATACTGTAAATGTTGTTTTATATCTATCATATTCTTTGATATGAAGCTGCAAATAACTAGATTTAAAAATCAAATTTAGAAAAGATATTAGCTTTACTAAGCAAGTCTCTTTTATTAGGAATAGGATATCTGATCAATTTGAGGACTTTGTTAAGCTCAGCTTTTCCCCTTTCTTTTTATGCTATATTCATGATATAAAATTCAAATATGGGTGAATAGAAGTTTCTTTTGATAATGAATCGGAGATTTCTATTTTTCATAATATAAGATATGAATCATTCATTTGACATGACATTGCTTTTGCTGGTATATCCATCTCATGAAACCCTTCAATGTACGACAGCATAATATAAGATATGAATCATTTTTTTTATACGTATATCCATCTCATGAAACCCTTCAATGTACGACAGGGGAATGCTATAGATTTTTCTTTTTCAAAAAGAAATCGATTTTCTTCGTAAATATTCTTTGGAAATCCTATAAAAATTTAGAGATTCTAATTGAATATTTTGAGAATTAAGTTGAGTTTTAGAGTTTCCTCGAAAACTTCTTCTTTTAAGTAATTAATATTTAAAGATTTATTTTTAATACGATCTACTTCATTAATCACTTCTTGAGGATCAATAATGAAATGAAATGTAATTTTTTTTTATCAAAATAGTGCAACTAATATCATTTTGATCAATTTTTGAATGTGCATTATTTGCAATAGAAAATGAGTACCAATATAATAATACAAATATCTAATTTAGAGATAGTTACATTTGAAAGTTTATGTTTAAGCTGCATTCGGTAACCACTATGAGAGGTTAACTGTTTAACATTTTTTTTTTAAATATTTAGAAGGAATAAGTCTTTTATTGAATACATTTCATATCGACACCTTTATTAATGGGTGTTGTTAAATTTGATAAAATGTATTCTTTATTGATAATCAATTTAAAAGAGATATATCATTAGTGCATAATAGCCTTTTGAATAGACTAAGGAAATTATTTTGAAGGAACATTTTCTTAATTCATATTTTCTTATTGATATTGTTTTGTTTCAATATCAATCTTTCTTTTATTATTTTTTTCTTGATTTTTATTAATGATCTTAATTTCATGTTTAACATCATTAATAGTGGCTTCTTTTTATTTGTCAACAACACTTTTATATATTTCTGTTAAAGAGTATATGAGAAAATTATTAATTATATCTTCTCGATCCTTATTTTTTTTCTGAAAAAGTTTAAGAACTTTATTCTGGTAGAAATATCTTTAATTTGCGGAAGAATTTTTAAAATTTCTTCCTTCTGTTGATCTATCGAGGTAAATAATTCTGACATTTTGATAATATTTTTATAAAAAGTTGAATTGTTGCAATCTTGATAACAACTAAAAGAAATTTTATTTTCGTCTTTTGATGAAGATAATGAAGATTCAAAAATTATTTTATCATATTAAGTGAACTCTCAGTTGGTTAATAAGAGCTTCATTAGTGTTTGACGAAGAGGTTCGTCAGTTTTATGCTCATTAAGTTTTTTCTTGGCACTGCGAAGATTAGAGTAGTGACCTAATCGCCCATACTTGAAACATTTAATTTATTTCTTCTTCTTTTGAGGTTTAAAAGAAGAAAGATTGATAGGTTTAGATGACTTCCACTTTTCCGATTTCTTTTTCTTGGGAGTAATTCTCTTTTTCTTTTGAGAGGAAGCGAAACTAGTAAAGTCGCAGGCAAATTGCTAACAAAACTCTCCTAATTATTTTTGCAC